TTTTGGGGCAGACTTAATGTTATTTATCTCTACAAACTGGGTCCGTTCATCTAAATAGGACTTAAACCAACTAAGAGCAGTGTCGGAAACTTTGTAATAAACAGAAAGACGTTGTAAAAGAATTTGGTGATCAACTGTGTCAAATGCTGACGAAAGATCTAACATTACAAGGGCAACAGCACGCTTGCGATCAAAAGCACAGACAATGTCATTATGAATCTTAGTGAGTGCCGTTTCGGTACTATGACCTACTCTGTAAGCGGATTGAAATGGATTGAGAAGTTCAAAATTATATAGGTGACATTTGTATCAATTTGCAATTAACAATGAAACATTTTATGAAACAAATTATAGTATATCACAGAGATATTGTATTCCTGTGAGACAATGTCAAATGTAATACTGCGTACATTTTACTTCATCTCATTGGAAGAAATAGAAACATGCATTATGCTGAATGTTTAGAAAGATACGGATGCCCTATATGATATTTTCCCACCTAATTTTTATATTTAGGCTAATTTGCATATTATGGGGCATATGTGATCAAAGTATAATTCCTGGAATCCATTTTCGTCAATTTTTAAAACATTTTAAGCACATTTGTTGATCATTTCTTCCACTTCAAATACTATAGACCTATTGGCTAATCATAACTATGATTATTGAAAAAAGAATGGGGCGGATAGTTTGATTTTCAGACCCTCTACCATTTTTTCCCGATTTCCTGCTGTCCATTGTACATCGTATCATGTTTATGTTGAATATATTCGTTATAGGTATATTTATCCTGCGAATAATTTTAACCTGCAGTTACTACAGTAATTAACCAATCATTATGTTGTACTCAGATTTTGTACACAATAAGAATATTAAGATTAGTGTGGCAACCGGTTATCCAGCCCGGTTATAAAAAGAGCACTTATTATATTCCAGCGGGGCGCTTAAGAAATGTTCCCAATTTGATGGGAGTTTATTCAAACAGGGCGCTTATTCGAGCGAATACAGTATGCTGAGAACGTGAGGGATTTTGAAATTGCTAATTACCATTACATTATCACGTTTTCCATTATTTGACCTTATGTGCTTTTCAGCACACACAAACACTTTGAGGAAGCCACGCGTTTTTCATTACCGAGCGTCGCTCGCACTGCATATTTATACAAAATCGATACCGCTATTAGGTTGCGTGACCATTCATATTCCTTTCAGCGCTGTCGGAATGATCGTCAATGTTGTTTCTCCAGTTCACTATAATACCTCCATGCCCTAGCAGATACTGTCATACTTTTTATATAACTTTACCTCTGAATTTACTCCTATTCAAGTCCCAGACTTTGCGTCGACAGGTGCCTCAAGAGTGTAAAATATTGTCCCTTTACCAAAAGTCCCCACGCCCACCACCAAAAAAAAGTCCCTACCCCCACCTCCAAAAAAAAAAAAAAAAAAAAAACAGGGATTCTTCTCGCAACATTCTCGTTTAAGAGCGAGAGTAGCCTGCGGATTAGTGTTTTACACTATATTTCGAACCGACATTAGCTGTTGTGGGTCATTTTTGTCTTTCTGTCCTATCTCAGCTAATACTTGTCAGATTTTTGTGTTCCCTTCGGTATTTATAACAGGCAATTCTCTTCTGATTGCTTGAGCATTTGTTTTAATTGTATTGCTTGAAAAAAGTCACAGTCAATTTCCACTTTTCGATTGGTACTATGCTGCCGCCCACCTCGTAGAGGCTGAATTTTTACGTCTTTTTGGATTGCTTGAAAAAAGTCAGTCATTTTTCACTTTTTGATTGGTACATGCTGGCCGCCCATCTCGTAGAGGCTGAAATTTTACCTCTTTTTAGAGACTTCGTTGGCTTTAAATTACCATTTCGGCTGTTCCCCAATCAAATATATCTTGTTGTCCTCCCGGTAAAAAGAAAGGTGAATATTCATAGAATCTTCTCATATAAAATATATTGCCATTGGATGAAAAAATTCACCGTCAAAACACTAATTTCCATTATGAATGAACGATCTTGTCTAGGCATTATGCCCGCGAAATGCGAAGCTTTATTATAGCCTTCCGTCATTGTTGAATCTGCGTTGTACTGTTGTTGTATCTTTTGCCTTAAATTTCCTTTAGGTATTTCATTTTCACCTATACATACTCAATAATTAATATGTTGTCAACGTTTACTGAATGTTATTTTTTGATTTAATGTAAATTTAAAGGCACACAAGGATCTAAAACACACGGTTGTAGATTTCTCTGCTAGATGGTAAGAAGCAGGAACGTACCATTATTGAACAGGTATCGGATGGCCGGATTCAGGCTGACTAAGAAAAGTAAGTCGTAAAAAATGAATGACCATTATAGCCTAAGTTGTAAAATTGTTAAACTAGTACAGTAATACTGCTAATAATGATATTTTAGACTCATACAAGCATAAAAACCAAAGATAGGCCGATTGATTACCCCTCATAAAATGAGCGAGTTTAAATGATAACCAAAGCTTCTGGAGGTCAATTAACTGCAGTGAATATGAGCCGATTAAATTTGAGTGTTTCGTTGCTAAAATGTGGCCTAAGAATCCATATGAAAATAAAAATCTGTAGAGAGTGGTCTTTAACCCTTATCTTGGCAAAGGGAAACTTTTTTGCATGGGCGGTAGGGTTAATTTACTCTACTGCCTAATATTATACTGCCTCATCGGAGCTTTCGCGATTACGAAACCTTGTTAAAGTGACAATATTTACACGTTTAAACACAAATTCAAACAACGTCTACTAAATAAATTTAAATACCAACCAAGTAATGCTTAATTCTTCTGATTGTTTTCTGCAAGTCTTCTTCATCTTTTTTTCAAATGTTGTTCTTTTTACATTTAATGGAAACTAATCTTTTTTAGGATTAACTGTGTCGTCCTGAATGTCAATGTGAAATTTCCAAAATTCTTAATATTCCTAACGTGTCATTGCCCATTGACAGTGCTGCTGCGTTAGATAACAAATCATTATGAAAGAAGAATTATTAGACTTACAGTAGCTAGAAGCTTGGTGACCACTATACCAAGACCTGGTAACAAAATAGCTCCTATAACAGTCAGACAAACTCCCAGAATACCACAGCACCACAGACGATTTGATTTCTTCATTTTCGAGTATGCTGTGAAAATTTGTAAAAGCCAAGATATTAAAATATATTATAATAATGATTTAAAGGTACTAGACAAATAAATAAATGGATGAATAAATTCAGTAAAAATAAACAGGATAGAAGAATTTTATCAAACTCATGGATGAAAATGACTGAATGACTGAATGAATGAATGAACGAACGAACGAACGGACGGACGGACGGACGGACGAACGAACGAACGAACGAAATACAGTAACTAACGAATAAGTGAATGAAAGATTTATGGATGACTGTATATAAATACATGACTTCATGAATTGATAAACGAATAGAGGGAAGGATTAATATGAGAGGAAAAGAGTTCATTAAATTTTGGAGATGCTGGAATCAAATTTAATGAACAGGTGGTTGAATGGATTAGTGAATAAATCATAAATGTATGTGTGGATATAGGATAGATAAACCCAACTGCTATAAAGCATTTAGTGTTAAATGAAAATGTCTTTAACTTCTCAAATGTTAACAGACAACTAATCATTAAACATATTCCCAAGCTTAATATAAATTCTTCACCTGGCTCCGATGGAATCACTGCTAATCACCTTAAACATAGTGTTTATTCAAATATTCCAGATATTCTAACTAAGTTGTTTAATTGTTGCATTAACTACGGTGTTGTTCCTTGCAATTTTTTGAGTTTATTATTATACCAATTCTGAAAAACCAAATGTCGATCCATCCCAGCCTGAAAACTATCGCCCAACATAATTACTAAACTTTTTGAACTCGGTCTCTTAGAATCATATGCTAATGTAAACTTCAATCCCTTGCAATTTGGGTTCATAAATGGTAGAGGTACAGCAATGGCCGCCGCGACGGTTCATGATGTAATTAATTTAGCATCAACAAAAGGCTCACAAGCCTTCGCTTGTTCTTTAGATGCAGAAGGAGCCTTTGATGCTAATCATTTAAACTCAGTATCGTATCGAACTCGAGTCGAGTCAATCCGAGATTGCCCGAAGGGAGTTTCATGCAAATGGTTCGTACGGGGGAAAAATCACCTAGACAGTAATAACAGATGAAATAAATAGGCCTAAACTTTTAAAAATTAAAAAAAAAATATTTTGTCATAAAAAGCAACTATCTATGACCTGTGGTTGCCAGGATACAATTCAAGTATTCAAATATTTTTATTCATCAAACTCGCAGTAAAAAAACTGAATTACATTGTTGTTAACATTATAAAATACAAAATAACCCAAACAAAAATAAAAACAACTTCTTTTTTTGAATACCAAAAACAAAATTTAAATTATCAACTGTATCTATATAATAACCTTAGGCCAAAATAAATGTCGAGATGCCTTTACATGGAAAATAGTCGGGATCGTCGCTAGGTCGGATTTTTTTAAATACCCTACCTGAAAATATGAGAGGCTTCGAACTGCATTCTAAACTCAACGCTGGACTCATTAGTTAAGTAAAGGAGTAGGCCTTAACACGCCAATAGATCGGTGACAAGCTTCGTCAAAAAGATTATTTAAATTAATGTGGGAAAAATATTAGTATAATAAATAAAGTATATTAAAATAAATTCAATTAAAAAAAAATCAATAAAAACAATTTATTTGGCTTCAAAAGCTATCCGATCCCCACGATCACGCGCGGTCAAGGTCGAGCAAAAATCCGAGCATACTGTTGCTATACAAAATGTCCAAGCAAGCGTGTTCTCTATAATGTAATACCAAGGAATTAACTGTTCCCTTGTAATACCATGGAGGTATGAAAATAATAATAATACATTAATGCTGTGAATGTAGGAACTAAGCCACCCTTGTTAAAAGCAACCCCTGTCGAAAGCCACCCAACAATGGACTATAGGCCTACTATTGTAAGGTGGGGCCTAAAATCCGTAAACTTGTAAAGTTGGCCGGATGGAGAAAAACATTTCCCTCATGGTTTGCCGTGAGCGTGAGTTGTAAGTATGTACCAGTAATAAAGTCTGAATTTCAATTATTTCAATGCATCATGTTTTGGCTAAAATTGACTTCACCAGTGTACTATTTTCAAAAACAGAGAAGCCAAAATAAAATTTTAAGTTGATATGATCCATTAAAATAATTTACTTAAAGTCGGTACATAGCTAAACATTTTAGGCTCCGTTTATAAAGGAAGTCACAATATTGGTAATTTTGGGGTTTTCCATTGCTATCCCTTGTGTTAAAAAGACATTTTTTGTGCTTTTTTGCAATTGGGCCTACCTTGGTTAGCCAACCACCACCGCCTGTCTCGATGAATAATGGGGCTCAATTTTTTGTGAACTCGATTTATCTTTATGGACTCCCTTTAATCTACAAGTAGCTTTGAGCCTAAAGTGATGGCTAGGCCAACTGATTTTTATTTATTTTCCAATATCATCCCGTAAGGTAATGATCCGGCAATCACGCGTATTCAAGAATGGCGTACCTAAAATCAAAGAGTAGCCTATATAACAAAAGAGAGTCCACTCAGACTGAAAATGCGTTCCGCCCGACGACAGAACGCCCTCTGTTGTGGATAAATTTCGTGAGTGGATTTCCCGCACGATTAAATCGTAACGGTACTGGGTTTGGTCTACATGAGTTCGTGCTTTGAACCAGGGGCGGCGCCAGTAAGGCCTATGGGCTGTCTCTTATACACATCTAGATGTGTATAATCGGTCTGGTCAAGCCCACCCATCGGCCAAAGCTTGTCGGGTAGTCGGACCAAAAAAAAGTAGGCCTAGTTTTTCCATCCCAGTACTGTAGGGCCTACTGCCTACGCCAAGCCAAATCTGTTTTAGCAATGCTTCGTCTGGGTCAGTCTGATCAGTCAAGCAGAAAAATAACAATGGTGAATCGAGCTTAATTTAACCATAGAGAAAATGTTCTATTTTCTCTATGATCGTCTTAATGCTTTTTAAAGTACAATGAAATGCGTGAATCGAGCTTAATTTAACCATAGAGAAAATGTTCTATTTTCTCTATGATCGTCTTAATGCTTTTTAAAGTACAATGAAATGCGTGTTTATTGACTTGAGAGTAGTACTGTATATTCATTACGACCGCGCTGGTAGAAGCTGTTGCCTCGTTGCCTCGTGGCTGATTGGGTCTCTTTGCTGTCTTATCTATATTTTTTGTCATTAGTTCAGAGTTTTGGTGTCTGTCTATGCAGTTTGTACATCCATGTCGTGAATTTTGTCTGTAGTTCTGTATTTTTTATGGAATTTGACTGATTTTTTGAGCAACTGAGTCTAGGCCTGACTTACCGATATCCAACATGTGCTTGGCCGATCGCACGGATCAAACAACACTCACCTAAACTCCTATACACAACACGGATACACTGGCCATAGGGCAACGCGATATCGAGGCAGAAGAGCCGGCAGGAAAATTATCAGAAAGATCCAAGCTATTACAGATGTTTTTTATAGTAACAGTATTAAACCACTTGCTAAGAGAATTCCTGTAAGAAATACATCCGATGTAGTAAAATCTCACGTCAATTCTCTGAACAAAATGGCGGAGACCGCACTTTCGGTAATGACCCAGGTAAACACGAATCTAAATTAACGTTACCTTCATTTCTGTCTACAAATGCGTGGTCTCCTATTAACAAACGTGATGAATTTGAAATTCTCATGAATTCAGAACACATTGACATTGGAGTTGTAACTGAATGTTGGCTTAATCATCGTCATCATTCCAACCAAATGTCTATGCCGAACAATTCTCTCTTTACAAATCTTTGTAATGGACGAGGAGGAGGTGTCGCTGTCTACGTAAATAATAACATTTACGCTACTCAACTCGATATTGATATTCCTCCTGAACTTGAAGTTGTTTGGTTGAAAGCCAGACCGACATAGGTTACCTCGGCGAATTTCTCAAATTATCGTATGTGGTGTTTATATTGTCACCAATTCTCCTCACCAATTGACGCTAGAAAATCATATGATTAATACTATCGAAAGTATCACTGCAAGATCTGTTCAAACAGCCTTTTGTATTTTTGGCGATTTTATCGCATGAATATCGCTCGAATACTCCAAGGCAATGGATTAAAGCAATCAATGAAGTTTAACACCAGAGGAAATGCTATCCTTGATCTGATAACAACAAACATTGACAGTCATTATATGATATCTTATCCACTAGCACCAATCGGTAAAAGTGACCACAAATGTGTTATCTGAAAGCCCAAGTCAAGAAAAATTACTAACACAATTACTCGGATCACCATCCGTCCATTTTATGCAACTCGCCTTCATGATTTTACTCAATGGCTAAATAGGCAGAACTGAGCAGTTGTTCTACAACTCAGCAAAAAGTCGATGAACTTTATAAGATTTTGAATTCTGGTTTAAGTATATACCTTCCTACCAAGAGTATTAAGGTTCATAACAGTGATAAACCCTGGCTTACAAATCATATTAGGAAACTTATATCTGACAGACAGAATGCTTATGCATCTGGTAATTTTTCACTTTATAAGAAGCTTCGTAACAAAGTTAAGCGCTCTATTACTGATTTGCAGTTGAACTCAGTGAACCTTTAGTGAATGTATTAAATAGTTCTTTCCAAGAGTGTAAATGACCAATACAATGGAAACGTACAGTAGTGGTTCCGTTCATAAGGTGTATCCCCCCCTCCCCCCGAATAGACAAACTGAGGTCAATTTCCCTCTCTTCCGTTTTTGCCAAAGTCGCTGAAGATTTTGTTTGTTCATGCCGGGTTACTTCTGACATTCAACCATCTTTAGATGCCCGGCAATATGGTAATGTAAAAGGTGCCTCAACATCACATTACCTTGTCCGTCTTGTCCACGATCTCTGCTCTGCCGCTGAGCGGAGTCGCAACGTGGGAACGGTCGTACTCACGGACTTTACAAAAGCTTTTGATTTAATTAAACATAACATCCTTGTTCAAAAAGTTGTCTTTTGTGGTGTCCGTGAGTTGATCGTTCCCTGGATTTGTGATTTCCTCTGTGTCGGATATAAAAATAAACTATCTAGGTACATAACCCTTAATGCTGGTGTTCCACAGGGAACAAAATTGTAAGGTGTCGGCTTTAAAATCATGTCTTGCGATCGGTTACGATGTAATCGGTGGTAATCCAAAACTGATTACTCCCGATCGCAATCAACGAACGCATTCAGACCAACACAAACAAACTTTACATTCTAGGGCCTAGACCTCTGGTGGCTAGGCCTATGTTGCCTGACCTCAGCCAAACAGTGCCTGTGGAATTCGTTGTGATTCGTTGCGATCAGATTCCTTGGTAATCCGGAGTAATAAAGATTGTAGCACCCAATCGCAACGGGTAACAATTGCGATATCGATTACATATCGACTACTATTGGTGAGCTTTCACACACGATTTTACTTTGCGATTGGGTGCGATTGGGTGTCGCAATGCTTTTATGAATTAAATATATGAATCCAGTACAATCTAATGAACTATGGCATGAAATACATTACTATGACCTTTAAAATTTCACTGAAACTTGTTCACACTAGCTTTATGCATTTCCTTTTTTTACTTTACTTTATGGTACATAATATTGATCCCTATTAATTATTACTTTAACATTTTTTTTTTCAATTTAACTCAACAATTATGAGCATAGCACAAACTCAATTACAAGTCCATAGTATCCCCAACCATTTTGTTTTATTTTCTGTACAATTCTTTTACTATATCTTCCTACACTTGTTCATTCCATGATCTCTAAAGGACATACCTTGTTAATCCCTCTTACTATTTCTCCATTAGCAGTTTAAACCTTACTATTCTACCCTAACATGACCGTCTGGTCCTAGGAAAATTCTACCACTCTACCATGTCTCGTTTCATCTCCTTCCACTTTTCTTATTCAATTCAGGTACCGGTAGCCACTCCTTCAACCACCTGTTCCAGAAATGCCTCATCAGCTATTGAACACGACGCCACCTTTTCCGTGGGCTAAATTTAGTTCCAAGATCTCCTCCGATGCAAACATTCCACCCATCTGCCCATGCAGGAAGTGATTAGGTGTTAATGGTATTAAAAGCATCTTTCCCTGAAGCAGTTTGGGATGTCAATGGTCGCGAATTCATAATTCCTTCTGCGCCTAGAAATGCCGAGTGCAATTCTTCATCAGTGATGTCTGCATTTTTAAGTATTGCATAAATTGCTTTCTTCGCAGACTTTATTAAGCTCTCATGAGCGCCGCCAAAATGAGGAGTCAACGGTGGTATAAACCTCCACTTAATACATTTTTCCACTGTTGCTGTTTGTATTTTCTTGTGGTCTAACAACTTAATTAATTCTTTTAACTCCCTATTCGCCCCTACGAAATTTGTCCCATTGTCAGATAAAATCTCTTTTGGCTGGCCTCTCCGACTCACAAAACGATAAAACGCTTTTAGGAATGTATCAGTGTCCAATCCGTAAGCTATCTCCAAATGGACAGCTCTATAGTTGCCAAACAAGTGAATAGACACAAATATCTCTTTGTTCTGACCTTGCCTCTGCCTTGAATTGTCAGAAATGGTCCTGCATAATCCACTGCCACTCGGGTAAACGCCTTTAAACTATTCATCTTAGTCCTAATTTCAGAAAGTGGAGCCATGATTTGTTCGCCTATTTTTGCCGTTCGTCGCTTACATCCCATGCAGTTCCTCTCACAATCTCGGATTTCTTCTCTGTTATGAATTATCCAATATCTTTCCGATAACAGTGATAATATATGATTTATTCCAGCTACATGTTTACCCAAGTCATGAATTCTTCTTTACAATAAGTTTAGTGACTAGATGCTTTCTAGGCAATATGATTGGGTATCTGACGTCATGTGGCAAGGCTTCAACCAAACTTAAACGTCCTGTCATGCGCAATACTCCGTCTTCGTCTACTGTAGGTGTTAATGTACTCAATACACTGTTACATCCAACAACACCATTTTCCTTTAAGTTCCTTATGTCATTTGGGAATGATTCTTGTTGCGCCTTTCGTATTATGCTTAGTTCCGCATACTGGATCTCTTCATGCTCCAATCGCTCATAGACCCTGTCATTTTTGTTGGATCGACAATTTGTTAGTATAATAATTTTTTTTATTATGACCAACCTTTTTTTCTAATTGATTTATTAACTAGTGAACCTTTTTTATATTATCAATTGCAAACCCCCTTTTTTTATTATAACTTATAGTGAATCTCTTTTTTTATTGTGAGTAGTAAACCTCTTTTTTTTTATTATAAATAGCGAACCTCTTTTTTTATTATGAATAGCGAACCTCTATTTTATTATGAATACTGTAGCGAACCTCTTTTTATATTATGAATAGCAAACCTGTTTTTTAATTATGAATAGCGAACCTTATGAATAACGGTCCTTTATTTATTTATTTTGACCCCATATTATTATTATACATTTAGGTTCATTTAATTTATTGAGTACATGGTTAACAAATTTTAAAGGGTACCTATTCCATGACATACATTTTCTAATGTTACAAAGTTCTGCTTGAAGTTTATCGGGAGTACACAATTTGTGGGCTCTTGAAACTAAACTACGAATCCAAGAAATCTTATGGTTCTTTGGGGGAAAAGCTATCATAATGGATATATTGAACTGTATGTGTATTTTTCAAATTATAAATCCAGAAAGGATAGGCCTATATCACTGTTTTCAAATGATTCAAAAGTAAAATTAATCTGTTTATGAAAAGTGACATAGGATGTGATGAAAATCATTAGGTTTAGCTAGCACTAGTGTGTCGTCAACAAAACGAGTATGAAATTTAATAATACCTGATTCTATAAATTTATTAACCATAGACTCTTTTAGTTCAGTCATCAAAATATTGGCTAAAACTGGTCCAAAGGGTGAGCCCATTGAAACGCCGTCAGTTTGTTTATAGAATTAATTATACACGTAAATATACAGTTTTAGTACAGCAAGTAGTTTCATTAACGTATTTTTCTTAAGATTGGTAGATATCAATTTCTTATTGTAAACACTATCAAGAATTATATTAATTACCTTAGTAAGGGGAACATTTGTAAACAGAGATTCAACATCAAAAAAATTCAAAACGGTAGCCTAGATTATATAAATGGTCTGGTATACTGGCAAATGGTGGTCAATTACAATATATCGCCTTTAAAGCACATAATGAAATAAAAACAATTTACTTACATAATAATTGTATCAAAATCAGCGGAATGGCTGGAAATAATATAAATCTTTAATCTTCAGTGTACGTTAACAAACAAAAAATCGTTGTTTTCAAAAATACAGATCCAAAATACAGAGTGGGACTATACACAGTTTGCTCAACCTTATGAAAATATTGCTCTTTGAATTACGCCGTTGCTATCAACAGTTTGCTTATCAACATCATTAAATGCAGTCATGATATGAGCGGCGTGAGAATAAACACTGAAAGTTGTCCAACTGGGTAATTATCGGTGTTATCAACTTACCTAAACTGTTAACGACAGGCCTATCAAGAGTGAAGGGAGAAGACCTGGATCGTCGTCCTAGATTCTTCCATGAATTAGCAACAGCAAGTCTATCTAAAGAAATAAAATAGGTAGTGATCATTGATCATTGAATTTTGAGTTCACGTATCATGTATGTTGCGACGTGATTATTATTCCAATCACTGAATGTTCAAAGGCAGGGAAAGTTTCAAATAAAAATCGGAATTTTTCAGATTCAAGCGAGAAAACCGATGCAGTTTAAATTACTGCAACCGTTTATATGCTTTTTATTTTGTTTTTGTTTCAGTTAAAATAAACATAAGATTATGGTTAAATTAATATTATCAAGATTACTGATTAAACCAGAGATAATGGCTTGACCGAGAATTTTTTTTTTTTTTTTTTTTTTTGTGAGAATAGTATCATGGATTTTGTCCAGGGTCGAATGCCCATTTTTAAGACACCTTCATTAAATATGGAAGCCGAGGCTTTTTCAGGCTTTGTTGACTATCTGCGACACCGGCTGGCTGCCAAACAATAATTTAAATGCAAATATGCAGTGTGAGGTGCAAAGGTCAGATAAGAGCACTCAACTCAAAATTGATAGACTCACCTGATGTTCCCCCTTTCAAGGTTTACATTGGTCGGGCTGAAACGCTGGTGGCGCACTCCACAGGTATGAAAAAGATTCGCTAGCAGCAGCGGCGCACAGTGGGCCAGACTTAATGTCAAAGTGTGCCAAAATTAATTACTAACCACAGAGGCTAATTTAAGCGAACATAAGAAGATTCTAGGGGTTTTCATACCCGTAGAATTCAGTAGAAGCACTTTCAAATCTATATGGCGTCACTATTTTACTGTTTTCTGATTGGACGAAGCCAATTTCCATTGTAATACCGAAACAACTTCATATTGTAATGGTTTTTGGAAATGTATAAGGAGTTTTTAGACATACAAAATTCTTTTGGGAGCATTTGTCTTTTCATGACGTCACCAAATTACATTTTCCCGATTGGACAGGGCGAAAATTTGTAATATTATACCAAGCCAAATTAATTTTACATTTTATTACGTGTCAATCGACGTTGTCAGATATTAGGCCTACACCTTAATTAACCAATTGCTTAAAATCCTTGAAAAGTAATGCTTTTACTAATTTAGAATGATTTCTTTCTTTCGTTTTGCACTTTTTTAGAATGTTCAAAAATATATAATAGGCCTACTAATTATTTGTTTTGAAATAACGGTACAGTTTATTTTTTACAGAACACACGTATAGCTATGTAATTCACAATTTCCTTGATTAAATAGTTACATAATATTTGTCGAGTTTAAAAATGTTAATACTAAAAGAGATCTTTTTATGATTCCTCAGTTTATGAAGTGTCGCTGTCATCCACTTGAAGGCTTTGGTCTTTAAGCATGTTCTTCACTTCAGTAGGTAGTGGTTCTGATCGTGGTTCCTTGATCGATCTACTACTAATCACAATCACCATAAGTCGATGAAAAATATCGCTCATTGTGTCAACTCTTGAGGTTTTTCTTGCATGCTTAAGCCGGAATGATTTATTGTCTTTGTTTCTGGCTTCTTGCACCTCTTCACTCATCATGCCAATTGGAAGCATTAAGGAAGCTAAGATTGTTGCTCCATGTATTAACAGAACATGGATCCTCACTGACATTCTGAACCATGGGTAAAGCTTGATAAGTAGCTCTGCGGTATTCCAACAAAATATTCCAAATTTATGAGGGTCTAAGGGAAGTTTGCACGATATAGCAATGAGGATCATTATAAGAGACAGATATAGCAATGAGGATCATATGAGTTCTGTAGACTAGTGATTCATCCAAACCACAAATATCTGCAAATCTCTTTTCATCCTTAAATGCTCTTCGCGCGGTGTTTCCATCGTTTGTGTTGCCAGAACTTTGCTTTGGTTCATCAACCTTCAATCAAAGTACAGCATGAAACCGATCGTGAACTTCTTTCTTTCTTGAAGCAACTATTGCCTTATCTTGCTCTGATGACACACGCCACTTTTTTACAGGAATACAATACGAAATATGAAGCAGCATTTCAAAGCATCGAATCCACTTATGGAGTGGAGAGAGTCCATACTTGTAATTTTCTACAGCTGCGCTAGGTAAAACATCTATGTCATTAAATATTTTTGGAGTAGCCCCACAAGTATAGCACCGCATAGACGATTTGGTCTCTGTCAATGCATTAATAACCTTTTGGACAACCATTGTCAATTGCAAATCAAAAGTCACCAGCATATTGTCTTTTCTTGGATTGGCTGCATCCATATCGTAGTCTATATCCAATGTTACATTCATAGGCTGCAATTGCTGAATTTCATCATTAATTCTATCGTATTCTTCTTGACTAAATTCAGTAGTTTCCTTTTTGAATTGCAAGTGAATTGGACGGCAAAATCGTGTTGACGAAGGCACTGGGTTTTTCCATAAGACGCGTTCTCCAAAC